GTTTTGATATACAAGTTGTTTAGGTTTTTTCATCTAAAAAAGCAACATTAATTTCTTGACAACCTAATACATAGTATGACTAACTGGCCCATCCAAAACACTTTCATGTCAATGGGAGTCGCAATGTAGGGAGAAATTAAAAATCTTGAATGACAATCTTCATATTTAAGAAGGGGAGGGGGGCTGCTGAGATAACAGAACTCTCAAATGAGGGGGTGCCTCCTACCCTTTACCACCACTGTGGAGATGTCCCTGGCTCTCAACATTTGAGTTATCATATTAAATATGACACTACACTTACTACTTAAATTATCATGTGATCTTCAAAGCCAACAAAAACTGACCTTTCATGACAGTATAATTAACCAAGCCACTAAAAACTGTGACCCCTTATGACAGTAACTACCAATCCACTAGAATCTCTGACCTTTCATGACCAGTAACTGCCAAGATACTAGAAACTTTGACTTCTCATGACAGTATAACTACCACACTAGAGACTAAGGCTTTTTTGACAGTAACTTCTAAAACACTAGAAGCTCTGACCTCTTCACAATATCACTACCACACTAGAGACTAAGGCTTTTTTGACAGTAACTTCTAAAACACTAGAAGCTCTGACCTCTTCAAAATATAACTTCCAAGCCACTAGAATCTCTGATCTCTCTTGACATTATAACTACAAAGCCACTAGAATCTCTGATGTCTCATGACATTATAACTACCACATCACTATGGCCTTTCCTGACAGTATAACTTCCACATCAATAGAAACTATGGCCTTTCCTGACAGTATAACTACAACATCAATAGAAACTATGGCCTTTCCTGACAGTATAACTTCCAAAGCCACTAGAACCACCAACATCTCATTACAGTATAACTAACCAAGTCACTAGAATCTCTAAGCTCTCATGATGGTATAATTAACAAGCAACTAGAAGCTCTAACTTCTTATGACAATATAACTACCAAGTCACTAGAAACAATGCACTTTTTTTTTGGTAAAGGTAAAGCTTAGACGTATTCATAAATTTTTTAAGTATGTGTATATATATATATATTATTTAATTAAACAAATCAAGTCATCAATAGGAAATGAATAGCTGTGAACTGAAAACCCAAACCTTGTAGCTATCAACTTCTGTTGAGAGTAGGATCTCAAATCCCTGTCCAGGAGAAAATGGAAAGTATGGACCATGGCTCTCTTCCACTCCCCATTGCTGCATCTGAATAGAATTACGCACAAGGCGTGGTGGTGGGGTAAACACTGGACTGAGATGTAAGGCAATATCATCTCGAGGGTTTACATTAGGGCCACACTGGAGGTTAACTGCAAAACTGGACATAAAGTAACACAATTTTAAATCTAAACCATTATTATGGCATAAAAATGTTCTCTTTATAATCTTAGCTAAACAAATTATTAAGTTATGAAAGACAAGTAGGGCTTTAGAAATAGATAAACTGCAATCATAAAATGTGATAAAATGGTCACTTTCAGAGAGTAGACTTTCCTTCTCCACAGACGATGTTATGGATTTGATTACAACATGTTTTTAACGCAATGTAAAGTTCATTTACAGGGTCAAATATTTCATCAAAAACAAAATCCCATGGTTTTTAAGGACTTTCCAGAATCCAGACTAGTCTTCAACTTACTGCCCAATTTATGAGAAATACAAGTACTCACTCACATCTATTAAATATAGCACAAGTACTCACTCACATCTACTAAATATAGCACAAGTACTTACTCAATTCTACTAAATATAGCACAAGTACTTACTCAATTCTACTAAATACAAGATAAATAGAACAATGGGGATTTTAAAAACCTGCAAAGAGGGATCATAAAAAAAAGTAAGCAAACAAGGTTGAAGATACTGTAGACTTTATTTACTCAAACTACAAATCCCATATTTTGGGTCCATGCTCTTACCTAGAATTACATTAGTTTGAGATGTAAAATGTTAAGCTGCAGCTGGAGTTTGTCATGGAGATTTCTTGGAACATTTATAATCTCTGTGTAACTAAAATCTCTCTATATACAATGCATAGCAATGGGCAAATATAAGCCTAGACTAAGGCACAACTCCCACTAAGTACTTATAAAATTTTACCAGTAGAAAAGCAGCCTTTTCAAATAAAACATATATATATGTCTCAAACATCACTTTAAATATTTGTAAGAAAGCTAACTTCAAGAGGTAATGATAAAATCATTTACACTAGAATTATGATGGTTTTTAGTTTATGTAAAATACAAAAGAAACAAATCAACTTTTTAATACCCCTATGACCTTTGCAGTACCTTATTTAACTACTAATTTAGCTGGCAAGAGAATAATAACAATAATAAGAAGAAGAATTACAAATGTGCCAGTTTGAGCAGATTCTTTTTTCCTTGTAAGTATAACATGCAAGCATTTTTATATATGTACAGCCTTAACAGTCAATAGTGAAGGTTTTAAAGTGTTGTTTGAACTGAATCTTTACTGTTTAAAGTGATTTTTGTCCAAACATTCTATTAGGCTTTTGTGCAATTCCTTGCAATCCCTATTATGAACTACTATTATGGTTCATTATAGCGTAAGTACTCATTCAATTCTACTAAATACAGAACAAGTACTCATTCAATTCTACTAAATACAAAACAAGTACTCATTCACTTCTACTAAATACAAAACAAGTACTCATTCACTTCTACTAAATACAGAACAAGTACTCATTCAATTCTACTAAATATAGCACAAATACTCACTCAAGTCTATTAACTTTACTTAAGAACTATAAAATGAAAGAACTGGATAAAAAATGTTTTTAATTTTTGTTAAGAAATACTAGAAGTAATAACCATACAATGGCTTTTATAATAAACATTGTTCACTGATACTATAAAAACAACAACTTACACTTAAGCAAAATCAGAGTTTTGAATGATAAAATTATTCATCCACATGTCCAGTACTTGCTATAAACAAAAATGACCAAAAACTCTTTCCTCCCAAACTATCACCTACTGCTGATCATTAAGTAAGTTGTCTCCCACATAAACATAGCAGAAACTATACAATGTACAACATAGAAAGCACATTTCCAGTATATTAACACTGCAAAAACACATATCAAAACAATGAATGATACATTTGGTAATGATGATGTGGAATGTAATATGTAGCTCACAGTTTTACCATGATTAAAATATTTGATATTTGTTGCTGGTATGTGGAACATTTGGAATTTTTAATATGACTCAGTGGTCTATAAATGGCTGAAGAACTTAGGTTTAGCAACCCAAACATCACATCTATTTTAAGCTTGAAGTGATATTACAACCCACTTGTTGTTTGCTAACTAACATATTTCATCACTATCTAACTTGATTTTATTTATAGTGGTATCCAATAAAATGTGGAACATGTCAGAAAAATCAGTTTTATACTTAAACATTTCATCATTGCAATACATACTTATACACACTAATATCAGATACAACATCATTACTGCAACACATGCTTAGACTTTTCATTACTTGTTTTCACATCATGACTGTAATACATACTTAAATGTTTAATTATTATTGCAACACACACACACACACACACCATCAGATGCAACATCATTACTGCAACACTTTAAATACTTCATTATTAGTGGCAACTTCATTATTGGAACACATACTAAAACATTTCATTATTATATGCTTATTCAGCCCTTGATGTTAGCCATAAAATGATTATTAACAGAAAACAGGAGTTAGGCACTAAATGACTAACTATATGTTCAGGGTTCATAAATTAGTTTAATTGTCTCATCAACTGTAACTCACTATTCTGACAAGTAAATAAGTTTATGATGGATCATGATCAGTATTTAAAAAAGTTGACCAAGTAGAAATATTTTATTTGGTTACATTTTAAAATTTCTGGATTAAGATATTTTGATGAAAGCATTATTGTTTTCCGCAATGCTTCACTACATTATTATTTTTCAAGGACATTCCAGGTTTTAAGGTACTTACAAACCATATATTGAGTAGAAAAACCATTGTCATTTAAAACATTTACATCTGTATTCAACAAATAACTGATTTTGGTAAGTGTTACTACCTTACAATCATACGTCATTATAATGTGTTTATTTTGTATTTCTATTAATATTTATTTTCTTTAACATAACACCGAGTTTTAATAGCTTCCAATTACCACATAATGAATACCAGTGTTTACTCTGAGATGTAAACCTTGGTTTAACTGAATAAACAAAATCGCACATATTATCATGTTAACAATAGGGTTGATCTTCACAATCATTCAAATTGGTGTGTTGGCAATCAACCAGGTTAGATTCTTCATCACTGCACTTGCATGTTTGCTGTAGTGGTACTAGTAGTTGTAGTATAGATAAAAATTTCACAATTTAAAGAAATATTAAGTAGTGTAAGGAAAGTATTACTGTTAATTTCTAAATGCAATCTACCAAGTGTTGTGTACCATGGTGTAATAATACTGACTGACAAGTTTTATCTATATCACATAAGAAAACAACTGAAACTTTGAATTCAACAGTTCGACGATTGGAAATTAGTTGCACAAATTAATCAGGACTAGCCATTAAAATATTAACAGTACATTATGTATTATGCAATTTCAGACAGTGCATTGTACCAAAAAGTACATAAAGATATTATTAATGAAACTGCTTTTTAAAACAGAAACACTAAATGTAATTTTTATGTATCTTTCTGAATGGTAATACTGTATAATAATGATATCATAAATAGCGTGTCTTTCTTTAATAGAAAACATTTAAACAAAATTATACTAATTTCTTTTGTAAAAAGAACTCCTGTAGAACAACAAATCTAAATTATTTCATAAAAATGAGTATAGTTTTTCTAGCTTTGCATTAATAAATTCACTGTTTCTTTTAAAAGATATAATTCTTAAATATTATCTGTATGTTGATCTTTGGTAATGCAAAAGTTGTCCTTGAACTTGGAAGTAGTAGTGACAGTTCTGGTTTAGCTGCCACATGATATACTCATCTAACTTAAAATAGCTCACAAAAGATGGTGTGATATCTTTATGCTTTGCACTGTAAGGACATTCTACTTCCAACAGGATTATCATCAATGATTCAGTCAGGTGCAGCAATTAAATACAGATACATTGTGCAAACAAAAATTCCACACATTCATACATTTGACCATACTGCAAAGGTAGAGATCTTAATGTTGTTGCATTTGTTAGCCTCTTTGTTAGCTTATGCATATCCTTGAATGAGGTTCACTTCACTCTTTCACTAAAAAACCTGCAGAACCTCATCACTAATCAAATTGCTTGTTCATGTGTCAATTCTTTTGTACAGTTAACAATGTAAAAACTTTTTAATCTACCACGATCTGTCTTACTTTGTAAAAGAATAAAAAATAATCATACTAACTTACCAGTTCTTTTTTTGTACCCATAAATGTGCTTCTTATTTTTGTAGTTCTTCTCTCTGTTGAAATAGTCTACACTTCTAACATTTAGCAATTTTCTAATAAAGTTTGATAAAGATGAGATCTATAATACAACTGTAGCAAAGTATACAGGGTTAGAATAACCCAGCTGCACGTTAAAGCCATTTAATGAAATAGTTCTAAACCTATCTCATTCAGTGCCATCATTTTATCATTCAGTGTAATATTAAAGGCAACAATTTCAAAATTAAATACTGAACAAAGAAAAGCTATACTACAAACAACTAGACACAGTGTAGTTCCTTAACTTTTATATTTATGATTATAATAATTTTAAATCAATTCAATCAAGTTGAATTACAAATATTAATTCCATCCTATCCTATGAATTCTGACACTATAAAAAAAAACAACAAACAAACACCTCCAGGACAACGACTTTAAACTGCATTCATACAAACTCTATCTAAAGGTATTATTTTAGCAAATCATTGTGTATGCTGCATCCCAGGAAATTTGCTTTTATATGAAAGATGTCTTTCCTTTGGAATATCCACTGCATGGGTATTGTTTATAACAAGTGCTATATCATTGATTACATGCTAAATTACTAAGCCCTAACCTTAAATATTTCAAATTTTTTGTGAATAATTTAATGACATTAATATTCATATATTTTATAATCCACAGAATGCAAAACATTACTTGTTGTTCCTTCTTTTCTTATGGAAACTCCAGACCAAATGGCTACATCTACAACTTATAGCAACTGACTTTCTAACTTTGGTACTAAAGTCCAAGATATTTTTTCATGTTGTAGATACTTTACATTTGATAATAATTTCTGACATATTTTTCATATCTTAGCTACCTTACATTTGATGCTAATGTCCAGGGTATTTTATGTCTTAGTTAGCTTACATAAGATACTAATGTCTCAGCTTATGTTTAATATTAACTTTCAAGGTGTTTTTCATGTCTCACTTAGCTTACATTCGATACTTTTACTGTTGTGTAAACATAAGAATGAACATTCATACAAAAGAAATTTATAACATAACAACATGCACACACATTTCACCACTATCTATTCCAACAGGATGTAAGTACATTCAGATGAAGTGGATAACTGCACATAATGCATAGCAGCAAAAATGATAACAGAATAATATATATGCAAATTCATTGGTATCAATTTCAATATGAAATTATTCATATTTTTTCAAGCAATATCGTGGTGAATAATGTATTGTTTCTTTGTTTACACTTCATAATTAGTAATATACAGTAATCAATATTCCTGTGGACATCTACTTTAACAAAAATAGTCCTTATCATGTTACAAGCATAACCACAGCATGGGTAAACACTAAGATACATTTCCACTGATGTTATTTTGGGCAAGAAGTTTTTGAACTTTAAGAGCTCATACAAGTTTCTGACTTAAAGTAGAAACAAAAACATCCATAAATGTTCATAAATACAAAACTTGGGTAACTTTCTGAAAACTAATTTTCATGCACTTTCACGTTCTTGAATTTTTCAAAATAATTGAGGATTTTAAAAGTTTGAAAGACCCATTTAAAACTTTTTAAAAGTATTTTATAAAAAAAGAGAAGTGAGGTTAAGTGTCAAAAGCACAAACTTGTAAATGAAGCTTGCTTCAATATTTAAAAATCAAACAATGATTTCACCTACCAGTGAGTTGTTGGATGTGTTGTGCCTTGCACTCGTATCAGTCGACCTGGATACAGTTGACCTGGAATAGCACCCACAAAAGGAATTACCTATAAAAATATATGTTCTGTCAGATGTGTATTCAAAGATTCTATATCACTAAGATGGAGCATACTCTATCTCTTTACCAGTTCCCTCTGGCAGCTGGTTTGATAACAGTTGCCAAGCCACCTATTTAACCACACTTGAACATAACAGTAAATTGACAAACAAATTTATGAGCATAATGAAGCATACTACATGTTTCATAACATAACATTAAAGGGCAACAAGGGATCTTTTGGTCCATCTAGGCTGTCCTATCCACTAAGTTAAACCCTAAAACAACAACAAAAACAACACTCAAATCAGCCTTTCTCATTCAAATACTCATCAAGCTTTCCCTTCAACTCCATTGAATTAATTGCATTCACCACATCTGAAGGCAACCTGTTCCAAAGGTCAACAACCCTACTGGAAAAATAAAGCTGTCTTAGCTGAAGATGACTCTTATTCTACCATTCTCACCATTAAATATGAAAAACAATGATGCATTAACACTATCGATTTTCTAAACAATCTTAAACACCTTAATCAAATCCCCTCTAACTCTTCTTAGAGATCTTAAACTATTCTCATATGCTAACATTTCCAACTTTGGTATCATTCTAGTTGTCCTCCTTTGAACCTTTTCCAACAATTACCGTATTTTTCAGAATATAAGACGCATCGGTGTACAAGACACACCCTTATTTTGAAGACAAAGTTTTGGGGAAAAAAAGCTACAGTAGCATTTGAAAGCTTACTGTTGAACAAAAATTCAATTTGATACTTTAAAAATTAGTATATATTGTTCTAAACACAAAAGAGCTCAAAACAACAAAATAAGAAAATACTGAAAATCAAAAAAAGGTTTACTATTATTTAGTTTGGTTCAAAACCAACAAAATCTTCATTGCTTTCACTGTAATTTATTTTTTTATTATTTAGGGAGCATTATAAATAGTTATGTTTTTAAAAGAAAAAAAACTACTATTGTTATAAATAACACATTCAATTGAACTAAACTATGCATGCCTATTTAAATATATTTACATACACAAGCCATATATCCTGCTAGGGAAGTGGACCCCCTGCCTCATATTTAACTCTTCAGTGCTCAATTTTTACCCCTTTTTGTCTTTTCTCACCACCCTTCTTCATTACCTATCTTCTCTGCACCTTATGTCTGAAGCACGACATCATGTTTCAGATGAGTTTTTCTGGGAAATTTTTTCCTTTACTTTTACCGCTATGGCCCAGACCACTTCTTTTGTCCTATCCTTGCTTACATGGTTCCTCTACTTTTGGGACTTATTAGGTATTGATACACTTATTATCTCTTGCTACGGCCGAGTTCGTGACCCCAAATTAACCTTTAGTTTCCATATTATAATTTTTAATATGTTTTGTGTATCTTCACAAAATTTTGCAAGCTTTCAGTGAACATTATTAGTCTTTTGTAGACAAAAATTCAGAGTTTTAATGAATTATTTTGACTAGAAATTTCTCCATGAATATATGGAGTCAGTGTTGACTGCTCCAAGTGCAAACTGATTTTCGTGTTTGGATTATAGTTACTTTTCTTCATCTTAAAATTGTTAAATTTCATTTGCATAATCTCTGAAACCTCCTAAATAAATTTCAGATGCTATTTTATTTTCAGTAAAACTTCATATTTTATCTGTTATTTTCTCTAACTCTTTACAGGGTTGGTCAATTTGACCGACCTCATATCCACCATAAAAAAAAAGTGCAAAATAAATCTAAATTCCCATTTTTTTCCAGAATGACTTCAAATTGTAACAGGAAACTACATTTGTTTATCATAAATAGTTTAAAGCTCAGAACTGTGTTCATGTTTTTCTACTTAAGTTTGTTTTATTGCCCTTTAAACCACATCTAACTAATAATCACTTAATGTGTATCTCACATTACCTTATTGAATTATGTAATGCACGAGCTACTTAAAAGCACAACTCATTAATCTTTATTTATCTTTTTCTTAATCTTATTTAATCTAACCTAATAAGTTTCTAAATTTTACATTTCAGTTAATTTTATATTAATAAATAAAGAATACACATGAAAAACAATAAATACATTAAGTATCTGGGTCTTTTTTTTTTTGCTGTCAACTGTCAATGAAACTTAAGTCTAC